ATCTGACTTGAAGAGACTAGGGAATCACAGATAAACCCTTGTACCCCGAGGGGTAGCACTGGACTAGGAGTTTTGGGTTATTCCGAAACATTTATGTTGACTGAAAGGCAACTAGCACTTAGCCAGTTAAGGGAGGTGCTGCAGGTCAAGGCTAGGAGAGAGAGCAGAGTAACAGGATTCAGACAAAGGCTACTTACAAACAAGTACCCAACTCACTATGTCAGTGGTGCATACCGATAATCTCAGCCCCTTTAGGAGGCTGAGTTAGAAAGATCTGGAGTTTGAGGCCAACCTGGACAATATAGTGAAACCCTGTCTCAAAAAAAGTACAGGTGACAGAATTACTAAACTTTTTAAACTGGTACTGGGGCTTGAAGTCAAGGCGTATGGCTCTCACTTTTTAACTCTGTGTTGGTACTCTACTGCTTGAACCACAGCTCCAGTTCTGGTTTTTGGCTGGTTATTGGAGATATAGTGTGTTAGATTTATCTTCACCAGCTGGCTTCAAACCACAATTTTAAAAAGTCTGCATCCTGGGTAGCTAGGATTATCAGCACAAGCCACCAGTGCCCAGCTTGAGTTACTGAAAAAACATAAGCCATTTTTATTTTATTTTTAAGTTAACCTAGTCTGTTGTGTTCTTCTTGCCCACAGATTTTCTTGGATTAGTTTAACCTCTGGGAGTAGGAGTGGCTGCTCTTGAATCCTGTTCCCAAAAGACATGCCACCCTTTGAGTTCCTCGGTCTCGCTGAGCTGTCTTAACTCTCAGGCTTCCCCAGGTGGCCGGCCTGCCTGCCTGCCTGCCGTTAGTGGTCACTTCCTGCTTTCCCTCCTGGCTCCAAAGCCCTGTTGAGGGGGCTTTTTATTCACCTTTGGCTTTTCTTTTTTTTTTTTTCCCTGCGAAGAGGGGCCTCATCCTTTGCTGCTGCTTCACAAACCCTTAGTGATGTTTTTAGCCATTGGAGTAAGTAAAATGAGCTGGTGCTGGCATTCACTGAGGTCTACTTGTTCCAACTTTACCCTTTCTGATTTAATCTCTTGAGACAGAAGTCCAAATTTGTATGCAGAATAACACTTTCTCTGAGCTGTTTTTATCAAAAATTAACTAGTTGCTTTTTTCCCCCTTAGACCTTTTTAGAAGGTATATGCTAAATGTTTCTATACCTCATATTCTACAGTAGCAAAACTTGTTCACCTCCTAGCCCAAGACTGGTTATCAGAGATAGGCCAGAGAGGATTTTAATTTGGTGAAATAACTGACTTTATTATTTTTAATATAATTTTTATTGAGATTAAGTGATTACATAAATTTCACAAATTTCACAGTATTGTAGGATAGTGATACTTAAAGTCACAAACATTTTAACCTTCACAAGGCAAATTGTTATTATCTTGCCTATAAAGTTTGTGAATTCTATAAGCTTTGACAATACAACTATTTATTATTCCCCCCTTCTATTATTTTTTTAAGACAAGAAGTACCTCTCCCTACCCCCTACCCCCCAACAAAAGTGGCACAGTGACTAGCCCTACAAGTCTTAGAAAGTACCTTATATAAAAATACAGAATTGGCCGGGCGCTGGTGGCTCACACCTGTAATCCTAGCTACTCAGGAGGCTGAGATCTGAGGATCGAGGTTCAAAGCCAGCCTGGGCAGGAGAGACCGTGAGACTCCTATCTCCAATAAACCACCAGAAAACCAGAAGTGGCGCTGTAGCTCAAGTGGTAGAGCGCTTGCCTTGAGCTGAAGAGCTAAGGGACAGCGCCCAGGCCCAGAGTTCAAGCCCCACGACCGACCAAAAAAACAAAAATACAGAATTGGGGGCTGGGAAGGTGGCTCAGTGGTAGAGTGCTTGTCTCTCATGCATGACGCCCTGGGTTTGATTCCTCAGCACCACATAAACAAAAAAAGCCAGAAGTGGCTGCTGTGGCTCAAGTGGTAGAACATTAACCTTGAGCAGAAGAGCTGAGGGACAGTGCCCAGGCCCAGAGATCAAGCCCCAGGACCGACCCTCGCCCCCCTCCTCCAAGGAAAAAATACTCAGAAGCTGGGTACCAGGATTGAGAGTCAAAGTCAGCCCAGGCAGATAAATCCAAGAGATTCTTATCTCCAGTCAACTAGCAGAAAGCTGAAGTAAAGCACATGGCTCATGTGGTTGGAAGCCAGCCTTCAGTAAAAAACTGAATGAGAGCACCAGGCCTTGGGTTCAAGCCCCAGTAAACACCCCACTCCATCCCTGCTTTTTTTTTTTTTTTGGTCGGTCGTGGGGCCTGAACTAGTGTTCTACCACTTGATCTACAGTGCCACTTTTCTGCTTATGTGGTCCTGAGGAATTGAACCCAGGGGAGGAATTGAACTCATACATGCAAGGCAAGAGCTCTACCACTGAGCCACCTTCCCAGCCCTCCCTGCTATTTTTTAAATGGAGAATTCACATCTTTATCTTGAGTATTCTTACTTTAAAATGTCTTTGTTTATTCAGATTTTTTTTGTCTTGTTTCCTCATTTGGAGTTTCTGCCTATGAACAACCACAGTGGTTGGTGATTACAGTGTGAATTAGGGAAATTCGGGGGGGGCGGGTAGGGGGGGAAGATGGGAAGGGGAAACAAAGGAGGAGGCAACAATGCTTGATAAGAAATGTACTCATTATCTTTCCCATGTAACCCCTCTATTATACGGTATTTTCACAATTAAAAAATTAGGGAAATTCCTCAAGAAAATGAAGTGGCAAAAGTCATGCAAGTGGGCTGGGAAGGTGGCTCAGTGGTAGAGTGCTTGCCTCACATGCATGAAGCCCTGGGCTCAATTCTTCAGCACCTCATAAACAGAAAAAGCTGGGAGTGGCGCTGTGGCTCAAAGAGTGCTAGCCTTGAGCCGAAGAGCTTGAGGAACAGCGTTCAGGCCCAGAGTTCAAGCCCCATGACCGACCAAAGAAAAAGAAATTATGCAAGGTTTATAGTTTGACTCAGTGTCCCAATTTTCTGAGCAGTGTCTGTGGGTTACAACTGTACTTTTCCCCTACACCAGCACTTAACCTTGGTGAACTTTCCCACTGTTTACTTGGGAGCTAAATAAGGGCGGATAACACTTCTGATCCTGTGCCCTGATTAGGGTGTTGCATCTCAGTGGTTAGGGCTGTAAACACCTATGAGCCACCCCAGGCTTTCCTTGGGCTTGGTGACTCTCTGGAGAGCCTGAGGTCAGGCTGGGGTAGTTGCTCCCTGAGGAACTGGAGCACCAAGTCAGGTGGTTCGGCAGGCTCCGTGTCCCTGATTTCTGAGCCTTCTGCTGAGTGGACTCTTTGGAGAACTCGCACTCAACTGCAACCAGCCTGCTACCACCTGCTTCCAGGTGTGGGCTGAATCTAAGAAATCAGTTTGCTCTTTGTCTGATCCTGGGGAAGTGAGGAAGGGGAAGGCTGCAGTCAGAGCTAATGCTTTGGTTTTGTGGTCTTGTGCCCTACTGCCTGCGGACAAGACAGCTGGCAGCAGTATCGAAATGCCTCTCTGTAACCTGCTCTCATCCTCTTTCCTATTGGACTCTGCTCTGTCATCTGGTCACCTGTGTTTGGTGCAGAAATTAATAGCGACCAGCCAGGCACTGGTAGCTGACACCTGTAATCCTGGCTACTCAGGAGACTGAGATCTGAGGATCATGGATTAAGGCCAGCCAAGCAGGCAAATCTAAGAGTCTTTGGGGTGGGGGTGGGGGAGAGGAGGGAAGGTTGGTCCCGGGGCTTGAACTCTGGGCTTGGTACTGCCCTTGAGATTCTTTTTGTTCAAGGCAAGTGCACTACTACTTGAGCCACAGTGCCACTTCTGGCTCTTTTGAGTAGTTTATTGGACATAAGTCTCCCAGAGTTTCCTGCTATGGCAGGCTTTGAAAACCTCAATTTTCAGATCTCACCCTCCTAAGTAGCTAGGTTGCAGGTGTGAGCCACTGGTGTCCAGTTCCTGAAAGACTTACCTACAAATAACCAGCAAAAAGCCAGAAGTGGAGATTTGGCTCAAATGGTAGAACACCAGACATGAGTGTAAAAGCCAAACAATACAAGGCCCTGAGTTTAAGCCCCAGTGCCAGAGTGCACACAAAACAATTATAATAAAATAATTGTGCCGGGCACTGGTGGCTCAGGCCTGTAATCCTAGCTACTCAGGAGACTGAGATCTGAGGATCATGGTTCAAAGCCAACATGGGCAGGAAAGTCTGTGAGGCTCTTTAGTTCCAGTTAAACACCAGAAAACCAGTAGTAGCGCTGTAGCTCAAGTGATAGAGTACTAGCCTTGAGCAAAAAAGAGTCCAGTGCTCAGACCCTGAGTTCAAACCCCATAACTGACACAAACAAAAATAGCTGTTAATAATTTTTTGTTTTTTGTTTTGTTTTTGTCAGTCGTGGGGCCTGAACTCTGAGCCTGGGTGCTGTCCTTCAGTTTTTCAGCTCAAGGCGAGTGCTCTACCACTTGAGCCACAGTGCCACTTCCCGCTTTTTCTGCTTACGTGGTGCTGAGGAATCGAACCCACGGCCTCATGCATGCAAGGCAAGCACTCTACCACTGAGCCACCTTCCCAGCTCTTAACAAATAGTTTTTTGTTGTTGTTGTTTTTGTTCTTTGTGGATCGTGGGGCCTGAGCTCCAGACCTGGGCTCTGTCCCTCAGCTCTTCAGCTCTAGGCTGGCGCTCTACCACTTGAGCCACACCTATGCTTTTGTCATTGTGGTAGTTTTAATTGTAGATAAGAGTCTTAACAGACTTTCCCTCCTGGTGGGCTAGTTTCAAACCTTGATCTTCAGATCTCACTCAGCCAACTGAGTAGCTGGGATTATAGCCACTGGCACCCTGCTGGAGGCCCTCTTGTTTATCCAGGTCTTAGGGGTTCTAGTAGAAGAACCCTCAGACTGCTCCGGAACCTGCTCTGGGGCTGCCTAGAATAGATACAGCAAAGGTGCTTCTTCCCGCTGTTCCCATCCGCTCACTGTGTTCTCCTCTCCTCCTATAGTCTGAAGGATGACCTCTAGGAAGAAGGTGTTGCTGAAGGTCATCATCCTGGGAGATTCAGGGTAAGTGTTTCTCAAGAATTTGAGCTGTAAGGTTGGTTTGGAGCCTTGTCCTGCTCTGGGCCTCTCTTCCCTTCAGTTTGGCATGTAGTGGAAACTTGAGTGTTCTCCTTTGAAATGTAATTTGCATTCTTTGCAGTGTGTGGGGTGGCTGTTGGAACCTGACAAATGGTTATTTTCATGACTCTCCTTTCCTCCAAGCTGGCCAGACTAAGGAGTCCTGTTGGCTCTGGCATACTGCCTACTTTCCCATGCACTTGTTACCCTTCTCCTGTGGAAGAGTCCGGGAGAGGGAACTGGGTTCTGAGTCTAGATCTGCCATTAACCAGTAATTAACTAGTAGCTCTTCAATATTGTCTGGCAGCCTTTCCAGACTTAGTGTCTCACTTGGCCCATGGTGGCTTTGATTTCCATGAGACAGACATTAAAAATAAGCCAAGAATGAAAGTATGCAGATATAGTCCCATCTACTTGGGAAGTTGAGGCTGGCAAATTACTTGGACACAGGCCAGGCTGCACAACAGAGACCCTATCTCCAAAAATGCTCTTTATTTTTTGCCAGTCCTGGAGCTTAAACTCAGGGCCTGGGCACTGTCCCTGAACCTTTTTGTGCTCAAGGCTAGCGCTGGATTTCTGGTGCGCAGCAGGTGGAGGTTATTGGAGATAAGAGTCTCACGGTCTTTCCTGCCCTGCCTGGGCTGGCTTTGAACTGTGATCCTCAGATCTCAGCTTCCTGAGTAGCTAGGATTAAAGGCCTGAGCCACCAGTGCCCAACTTGATTCAGTTAATTTAAATTGTCTGAGGAAGCTTTACAAAATCAGCATGTGTCCATCCTTAGACAGGTGAGAGGACTTCAGTATGTATTTCCCTTTCCTGCTAATGTCAGGATTGACAGAGACTGCTTGGGGCCCTGTATTGGCCTAAAAAGAACCACCAGGCCCTTCTTGCTCCATTATGTACGGAGTGTTTCCCCACAAGTTCAGTGCTGGTAGTGGTGGTATAAAGAAGACTCTTTTTTTTTTTTTGTCCTGAGGCTTGAACTCTGGGCTCTTCAGCTCAAGGCTAGCGCTCTACCACCTGAGCCACAGCACCACTTCTGGCTTTCTGAGTGATTTATTGGAGATAAGAGTCTCATGGTCTTTTCTGCCCAGGCTGGCTTTGAACCGTAATCCTCAGATCTCAGCCTCCTGAATAGCTAGGATGACAGGCATGAGCCACCAGCACTCAGCTAAGAAGACTTATTTATTTATTGTCCTGGGGCTTGAGCTCTGGGCTTGGGTACTGTCCCAGCTCTCTCTCTCTCTCTTTTTTTTTTTTTTTTTTTTTTTTTT